GCGAACTGCCCCTGCGCGGTGGAGTGAGCAGCGCTGTGATCCGCTCCGCACCGCGTGGACGGCAAACAAAAGCTGCTTGCTCTCGACTCGGTGGGGAATAGGCCGTCCGGCTTTTTGTGCGTTATGTGCGTGTGTGGTAATACAGAAAACGGTTTTCCGAAAAGAGACAATGCCGTTTTTAATGAAGGAATGTAAAGAAGCATTTCGATATTTCGAGTTCTATTCGATTTATTAGCTCAAGAATAGTACACAATGAAATATATTTTCAATGGATAGATGGAAACAAGTTATGAAACATTCAACTTATTTTTGTTTGGAATATAATACTGTAAGGTACTAATGAGAGTTCGATATAGTCATTGACCTTTTGCATATTCCACGAAGTTTGTTTAGCAAATAAGGCAGGTGTAGCAAGCTGAAATATTACTACATTTTACACGAATACTCATTTACCATAAAAAGAAAAGCATTATATGATGTTCTGAAAAACTGCTGTGAAATTTCACGATCAGATGTATTACTTTTAAATGAACTCGATTCATAACTAACACCTGGTTGTAATGTAAAGATAAAATAATGAAAATAATAATATTTTTGCCAATAACGAAGAACAAAACCTTTAATGTTGTAAGACACCAAGCCAAAAAGAGTATAGAGGAGGAAGACCACTTTTTGCAATGTGCTCAATATAGACTAAACAAAACACTATTTCTTCCAAAAGAAATTCCCTTTCTACAAAACCTATCTAAAAAAACTGAAATATCGAGCACATGTTTTCGTATTCGGTCCGTTCGGCCTTGACATCTTTAACAATGAAAGCGCACTCGTTTCTACCCACTGCCCTTCTCCTTCCCCTTCCCCATTGCTCCAAGCACTCTCCAGCCATGTCGCGCACGCTACATCACAGAGAAAGGAGAGTACATACATTGAGCGTCTATGTTTGCACGTCGCGAAACTCGTGTGATGTGCCAATGGCCAACTGCACATTGCAAACGCTCGGGGCGTGGGCTGATTCGCGAGAGCGCCGCCGATTCCCGCAACGCGCCCGAGTGCGTGAGCGTGTCCGGTTGCAGGCAGGCGGAATGCGCAGATCCCAGAAAAGCAAGTGCCGCGTCGCCCGGACGTGACGTGACGTGACTTTCCTATCGACGGGCGCTTCCTCGATCGCGTGCGCCAACACAAGCCGTCACGCGCTTCTGATCGCGGAGGTGGCGCCGGGAACACCGAACGATGCCTACCCCACGCATTTCCCATATTCGCAAAATACGTGATTTCTCGTCCTTGTGAAGTTTTCAAATTAAAACTGGTCGCTTGTGAAAGTAATGGAACTTAAAACAATATATCAAAACATTAAAATATATGTAATATTTTAAATGAAGAGCAACGATCACACAGAAGGAAAAGATATTTTGAAGTAAAAAACGGACACTTACTTGTCCACACGACAAAACACTTTCTTTTAATTCCGAGGAAACGGCAGTCCGCACAAT